TCGACTCGTTCGAACCTCGACGGGATACCACTTCGACGATAGTCAAAGCAACATCCTAATGGCTAAGTCCATCGACATTAGTTCGACCTCATTCGAACCACGATAGGATACTACATCGATAGTCGAAGCAACATCCTAATGGCAAAGTCCATCGACATTAGTTCGACCTCGTTCGAACCACGACGGGATACCCCAAAGGCCAAGGCCATCGACATTAGTTCGACCTCGTTCGAACCACGACGGGATATTACTCCGACAAGTCGAAGCAACACCCCAATGGCTAAGACCATCGACATTAGTTCGACTTGTTCGAACCTCGACAGGATACCACTTCGACGACAGTCGAAGCAACATCCTAATGGCCAAGTCCATCGATATTAGTTCGACCTTATTCGAACCACGACGGGATACTACATCGACAGTCGAAGCAACATCCTAATGGCCAAGTCCATCGACATTAGTTCGACCTCGTTCGAACTACGATGGGATATTACTCCGACAAGTCGAAGTAACACCCCAATGGCCAAGGCCATCGTAAACATCAGTTCGACCTCGACCGAGCTATGATGGGATTCTACTTCGATGATAATCGAAGCAACATCCCAATAGATGCCCAAGTGTCATGCAACAAACAAAAAAAGAAACGACAAACAGAAAAACTGACAAAAATTAAAGTTTATATTACCACAAAAATATCATTTACATTTGCCCCTACGAACAGGTCCTAGCACGGCCCGTGCCAAAATTCTCAAGCAAAATATGTAGTACAAACTAAAACTACATATCATCCCCAGCGGGGTAGGCATATTCATACCACGAATTTGAAGTAAGGTGATTTGCATCATCAGAATTGACACCTTCCCCGTCGGGAGTAAGAGGGTCGCACCCATACGACTCACGGGCTACACGCACTTCAACATGCACCGCCTGAACCTCCGCTTCCGTCGCCCGGCCCTCGGTATGAAAAGCCTTATACACATCGAGCCGAGCCTCTGCATGGACCCATAACTTGTACAAGCGACGAGGTGAGCTCTAACCAGCTAAAGGACGAGACGTTGAGGGCTGGGAACGACGGTTTACCTCCTTCGACCTCAGCGAAGCCATCTGCCCTTGCAATGCGGCTAAGTCCACCTCTAACTCCCTAACACTCCCTTCAAATCCCGCAATTTGACGACCGGAGTTTTCCCTCTCCCTCGTAAGTTCCAACCTAGATAGGCGGAGGGCATCCTCCAAAAAGACCGTCTCAGAAATGGCAGCGACCAACTTATCGGCACTGGCGTTCAACTCGCCCTTAAGTCCGTTGGCCTCCACTGCCTTAGCATCTAACTCAGCGGTCAAGCTAGCCATCTTCAGCTGTAAATCGGCGTTCTCAGCCGTTACCCCCTAACTCAACTCAATCTCGTCCTCCTTCGCCTTAAGAAGGGCCTCTAATTCACTATTACGGGCGATAGCCCTCTCAAGCTCCTCGTCCCTCTCCTTCAGCTCCTCTACCCTGCGCTTCAATTGGTCATCCCGTTGCTTAAGTCCCTCACGGAACACCTGGAACTCGGGATCCTGATGATAGATATCGGACATCGCCCAATGCTTAGCACGATATTGATGGTATTTCGACGACAACTTCTTATAGAGGCACGTCCTTCTCCATTCACGACGCTCTCTCTCCACCTCCATGACGAGGGTCTAACAAAAGAGAGGAGTTGAGTTAAGAGTAAATAGATAACATTGCCACACCAACTCTACGACACAAGGAAAAGAAGAAACATACCTGCAAGGCCATACCGGCGACCCTCCGAGATAATTCCGCATCACTCATCGTCCCAAGCATCTCATTTTCAGGAGCGGCGCATAAAAGAGCAAGGGCCGACGCAACCTGCTTGCTATTAGCAGCAAGTTGTAACTCCCCGAAATTACCACATGATGGTCGGATCCGTCCATCCTCACCTTCACATAGGTATGGCGACCCAAAAATTCATCGACGTCCTCCGGAACGACATCTGAGCCCGATCTGTCCTCCTCGACACGAGGTCCTCAGACATTGGACAACGCGCCCCCTTCAGCGGAACGCACTGAACCGGCTCTCGGGCCAACTCTCTCCATTCGAGGAGACCTCCCTAAAAACTAGCATCGGCCATAAACATGGGCACCGGGGCCATCTGAGATGCCCCACTTCCATCGGCCTCAGTGGCCACGCCCTTTCCCAGCTCCAACCTTCTCCTTTTTCTCTCTAACGGCTCGTCGCCATTAGAAGATTCATCAACAGGATACGGGGCCGGTGCCAACGAGGCCTTTTCCCTTATGGCCTCAGTCTGAGACGAGTCTCCCTGTTGAAGAAGTTGAGGATGACCTCCCCGAAAAGACTCACACAAAATGAATCGCGTGTCCGTGGTAGCAATGAATCGTCTGAAAGCAGGGACTAGCGCCCTTCGCCTGGAAGCCCCCCGACCTGTCGTCACAGAGGGCCATACAGTTAGGCAGGGTCACACGACCTATGAGTTAGTAAGGCAGAAATTTACCTGAAGAAACCCTGGGGCCATAACGTTGTATGAAGGCAGACCAAGTCCGAGTTTCCTCTGCATGGGGCAGCAGGTTAGTGACCCAATTCCTGAGACCCATAATAGGGTAGGGCGGATGACCCATAGCTGCAGAACAACAAGTAACCAAAAGTTACGCTAATTACAGAGGACCGGGGGGAAGGTACATAATGAACAACGATACTTACGAGTTTTATTCCACCGCTCTGGAAATCCGGCAAGGTTAGAGGCAATGTGCTCGGTCTTGATGAAAAAGTACTTGTGCCAAAATTTACGGCTCGCATGGTCGTCCGTCCCGACCACCAGCTCTTTTGCACCACGAAGTCTCAAGTGCACCATGGTACCCCTAAGGAAACCAGGTGAAAATAAATGCAAGAGATGATGAACAGAGACGTCGCATTCTCCTAATTCCGCGTACTTGGTCAGCAGCAGAAGCACCTTGAGCGTGTACGGCAAAAGTTGAGCCGGGAAAATATGATAGAATCTGCAGAATTCATCCGCTAGAGGGAAGAGAGAAGGCTGTAGCCGATCATAGAGGGATATTCATAAAAGGCACAGTACCCAGGCTTGTGAACGTCAACATAATCCCCCTCCGCCAGAGTCATTTCTACGTGGGCAGTGATACCATATTTTATGCGGAGGGCATCAAGGGGAGTCTGACTCATCTCAGAGAGTATGGGGTTTGGAGTAAGGGGCGGGTCTTTGAGGAAGTCACTTCGAGATAGGGGATGCCTCAGTAGTAGCGCCTCCACTGTGAGAGGACTATCACCCTCTTCTCTCTCCACCTCTCTACTGCCGGAAAGAGGTTCTGCGTTCGATGGAGCGGCTCAGGAACCTCCTCATCAATGCGACGAGACCTTGGCATGATTTTGTTTAAGAAGGGGTAGTTACACAAATGGAGTAAAAGAGAAGGAAATTTCCGGCAAGGAACGGAAACAAAGAAATGTAAAAACAGAAAAGAAGATTGAAGAATTATCAAGAATGGCCAAAGTTTTTCAAAGGAATCGAACCCTTCACCTATTTATAGGGTTGGGTGGCGCCAGAATCGAGGCAACAGGTTTCAAATCAGCGCGGGAAACTAAGCATCAAACTGTCAGTCTTTACTTCGGAAATCCGCGTAATGATGATGCATGTGGAAGCTAACGTCACCCCGGGTGGCGTGTACTCTTCGATATTATGCCCAATATGACAACCACATCTCGCTGGCCACATCATAATATCTCGACGAGTCAAATTCCTCCTAAGGGAGGCATCGAGTCCGCTCATCGAGGACGCATCCAGTTGCGACCTCGACAAGCGGAGGGACTAACTGTATGGGTCCGAATTTGATCGATCACGACCTATGGCGGGTACGGCAAACGACCAAAAACCTATGATTCGACAAAGGGATACGACCCTATGAAGGGAGGAGAGATACCACCGCATCGGCAGTAGATTCGGCATGTTAGGTGACCTAGGGAATATTCATTAGATATTTCTTAATTTGTCGTCCATACGATTATGGGAAAACCCCTCAGTATATAAGAAGGGTGAAAGTCTTGTAAAAGGGGGATTTTGCATAAAGAACCACTGGCCTTGAACTATTATCATCTCTCTACTATTGTCATACTAGAGTTTATTATCTTCGGCTACGATTTATCCCTTCATCATTGATTGATTTGATTAAAAAGAGTTCGAAATCTTTTGAGTCAAACACAATAGCTTATCGGTTTTCGTCAACTCAATAGCTTTTGCCCAAACCATATATTTAATATAAATATTTGACTGTGAACTCAATTATTATTGTGTGTATATATCTATATATATTACTCAAGGTCGTCATAGGAACCCATAAAACTTCAAACTCTTGTAAAGTTTAGATATATGTCTGTATGGGAAACAAAATAAGGTATATATGTTACTCCATCTAATTCAATTTTATTCCAGTTTATGTCATATTAATTTCATTATTTAGATCGTTTCGAAAAGAATTGGCACATTATTTTCTATATTTTTGAAAAGTAATAAGTTTTTTAATTTACTTTTGATGAATACCATAAATTTTAAAATCTTATAACCACAAAAATATTATGATATATTTAAGATTACAAATTTTACAAGTCATAATTTCATACTTAAATTTTGTGATAGAGTCAAGTTACTAAGGTAAATACTTACAACGTAGTATAGAATTGCAACCTTTTGGCACGTCTACTAATTAACACATTTTCTAAATCGAAATGAAAAAAAAGTCAAAAAGTCATCCTCTACATGCCCGACACGTGGTCAGAAAAATAAGAAAAGGCTTAGATCATCCCAGCACAAGATCGATTTTCATTGGTGCAATAACTCCGCCACAAATTCTTATTGGTCCACGTCATTAGTAATGACGCCAACAAAGCAAACTAACTAAACGGGTTGACCCGAAGACCCACGGGTCACTATCACGTTCCAACACTATAAATACCTCCTCATCTGGCGGGGGCCTCAATCAAATCTTTCTCATTCAACAACTGTTCTCAGACTATATAATTTTTTTTTCACTAAATTGTATAAAAAGAGTGAAGAAGTTGTTAATTAGAGTTTGTATAATAGAGTTGAAGCCATGGGTGGCGGCTACTGGAGGCGGAGCAGTTCTCTGGCGGTGCTAGCTATCGTTTTATTCGGTAAAAATGCACCATTCATCGTATTTAGATCTAGATCTGTTAATTTATTTGCTTTTTTAAGCTTAGAATGGAATTATCATGTTATTTTCTGTTTGTTAACATGCTAAATTGTCATTATGTGTCGTAATTTGGATCCGTTATGTTTATTATTAGCTGAGCTCAACTACTTTGGATCAGATTGCTATCATTCTCAAAAAAAACCGAAAAACAAAGCAAAAAAACTAATTTGGAATAGGAGTACTTGATTGAGATATTGTAATGGATTTATTCTTAGATTTGTAGGTTTTATATTAGTTTTTAGATCTGGTGAATGTCCTAATCTTATGCTCTTTATGTGACATAAATTGACGCAATACAGAGAACAAACTCGGCATAGAGGTGATATGTATATATAAAAAAAAGGAAAACCTTTAAAACTTGTGGTATTAAACATGTTTTAACCTATGTTTAGCTATTGATACTACTAATTAAGGGGTTAAATGAGAAGTTTAAAGTGAAATAACGGACTAATAAGGAAATAGTGTTGCATAAATTGGAAGGGAGGAAGTAATTGATATCAGTTTCTAGAGTAGGTTTTGTACATTCGGTGCCTACTATATCATGTTCTCTCCTTCATTAATTTGTAAACTGAGACTACTTTTGTACTCTTTCATGATACCTCGAGGTCGAGGTGAATATAGTTTCCAGGGAATATAGTACTTGCAACGGCATTTTAACGATTAGATGCTTTCTCGTTTGTGATCCATCTGCTCTTTGAGAGGGATGTTTAACAAAATTTTGATGAACATTCTGCCAATGTGCATTTAACTTTTTGTTTCTAGGAACCATTTTAAATCAAGTAGTTGATTTTCTTGTATATGCCATCCCATATCCTATATTGATTTCATAATTTCAAGAGCTTTTAGGATATTAATTAGACAGGTTTACTTCAAAGGCAAGTTTAGTTGCATATAACTCCAAATTTGTAGGAGCGATTTAATGATGGCAAGGATTATTATCAGTTCCTAACTAGCTCATGCTACCAAGGTATACCTGGCGAAATCTGCTATTTGATTTTTGTGGACATGTGGCCTGTAGTTACGTCAACGTGATGCACATATAATTAGGGTATTTTGATATCTTTTCTTTAATCTATTATATAATCACAAGGATGTACACAGCTGAGTGAGCATCACATGTGCAAAAAGTAGTTGGCTTTATGTGTTATCTTATCTATGTCGATGACCCTCTTTAGTTATAATTTCTTCTGCCTTGTCGGGTGTGGTTTTTCAAAGAGAAGTCAAATCTGTTTAGTGTTACTAATGGCATACGCTTGCCTGCAACAGGTTGTCTTTCTGCACTTTCGATTGCCAAAGAGGAGGCAACCAAACTAAGAACAGTTATTGGAATAGACCTTGGGACTACCTATTCCTGTGTTGGAGTTTATAAGAATGGTCATGTTGAGATTATAGCAAATGACCAGGGAAACCGTATTACGCCATCATGGGTTGGATTCACCGATGGTGAGAGGTTGATTGGTGAGGCTGCAAAGAACCAGGCGGCTGTCAACCCCGAAAGAACCATCTTTGACGTTAAGAGGCTCATTGGAAGAAAGTAATGGACAGCTCTCAGTTAGTTTAAATGATTTATTTTTCCTAGTTTAAATGATTCATTAGTCTTGTGCTTTATATTGTGCTTATAGATGCTCTTTCTTACCTTTAGGTTTGAGGACAAGGAAGTTCAGAGGGATATGAAGCTTGTCCCATACAAGATCGTGAACAAGGATGGGAAGCCTTACATTCAAGTCAAAATCAAGGACGGAGAAGTTAAGGTATTTAGTCCTGAGGAAATCAGTGCGATGATTCTGATAAAGATGAAGGAGACAGCTGAAGCTTTCCTTGGAAAGAAAATTAAGGATGCTGTAGTAACTGTTCCTGGTATGTTGCGATCTGAAAAATCTGTGTGTTCTGACATTCTTTTCCAATTGACTTATTCCATTTGTACTTTGCAGCTTATTTCAATGACGCACAAAGGCAGGCTACTAAGGATGCAGGTGTTATTGCTGGCTTAAATGTTGCAAGAATTATTAATGAACCAACAGCAGCAGCCATTGCTTATGGATTGGACAAGAAAGGTGGTGAGAAGAACATTCTCGTCTTTGACCTTGGTGGTGGGACATTTGATGTCAGTGTCCTGACTATTGATAATGGTGTGTTTGAGGTTCTGTCAACAAATGGAGACACCCATCTTGGAGGTAAGGATCTTGCACTATGTGGTCTACGACATTATTATCAACACAAATCTTACTTCTAAACATATTCTTATTCTACTATTTGCTGGATTTGGCTCATCTTAACAAACAACTTGATACTAGTAAATGGAATGATGATTTTGTAATTGGGCTGCTTTCATTTAACTGTTACGTTAGCTTGAGCTCTCATATTGGGTTCATGAACTGTGCTAACACGTGAATGAAATAACATTGGTCATCATTTCAATGAGAAAGGATTAGAACTGTCATTTATGAGTCAGCTTGTTTGCAAGATTTGGTTTGATCAATCTGTTTTTTCTTGCAGGTGAGGACTTTGATCAAAGAATTATGGAATACTTTATCAAATTGATTAAAAAGAAGCATGGGAAGGACATCAGCAAGGACAACCGAGCTCTTGGTAAGCTAAGAAGAGAAGCTGAGCGTGCCAAAAGGGCACTGAGTAGCCAACACCAGGTCCGAGTTGAGATTGAATCTCTTTTCGATGGTACTGACTTCTCTGAACCACTAACCCGTGCTCGCTTTGAGGAGTTGAACAATGATCTGTTCAGAAAGACAATGGGACCTGTGAAGAAGGCAATGGAGGATGCTGGGCTGGAGAAGAACCAAATTGATGAGATAGTTCTTGTTGGTGGAAGCACTAGAATTCCAAAAGTGCAACAACTCCTGAAGGACTATTTTGAAGGGAAGGAGCCTAACAAGGGTGTGAATCCTGATGAGGCAGTTGCTTATGGTGCTGCTGTCCAAGGTGGTATCTTAAGTGGAGAGGGCGGTGACGAAACTAAAGGTACTTTCTTCAATAGATTTTAATGCCATAGACTGTTTAGTGATTAGATATGATCAATTAATAATTCCTTTAGTAATTGACATATGCTTTTAAATTTGTGCAGATATCCTTCTCCTGGATGTTGCTCCTCTTACCCTTGGTATTGAAACTGTTGGTGGCGTGATGACCAAATTGATTCCTAGGAACACTGTCATCCCAACCAAGAAGTCTCAAGTCTTCACTACTTACCAAGACCAGCAGACCACCGTCACCATTTCGGTAATGTCTTTGCCACAAATTCTGATAATTTCGCTATCAACCTTTTAAGGGATGTTGTTTAATATATGCTTCCGATGCTCAGAATCTAACAGGTTAAGTACCATATTTTGCTGACAGGTCTATGAAGGCGAAAGGAGTCTTACCAAGGACTGCAGGCTCCTCGGAAATTTTGATCTGACTGGAATTCCTCCAGCTCCAAGGTTTGTAGCATACCATCTTTTTGCATGTTCTTTATTCATTAGTGAGTTTTTGCACTTTGATGGGGTGATCTGATTTGGTATTCTGATTATTGTTCGAACAGGGGAACACCTCAGATTGAGGTTACCTTTGAAGTTGATGCAAACGGTATTTTGAATGTCAAAGCAGAAGACAAGGGTACTGGTAAATCAGAGAAGATTACCATTACAAATGACAAGGGCCGCTTAAGCCAAGAAGAGATTGAAAGAATGGTTCGTGAGGCAGAAGAGTTTGCCGAAGAAGACAAGAAGGTGAAGGAGAGGATTGACGCCCGTAACGGTCTTGAAACCTATGTGTACAACATGAAAAACCAGATTAACGACAAGGACAAGCTTGCTGACAAGCTCGAGTCCGATGAGAAGGAGAAAATTGAGACAGCCGTAAAGGAAGCCCTCGAGTGGCTGGATGACAACCAGAGCGCTGAGAAAGAGGACTATGAGGAGAAGCTGAAAGAGGTCGAGGCAGTATGCAACCCAATCATCACAGCTGTTTATCAAAGATCAGGCGGAGCCTCAGGTGGTTCATCATCATCAGAAGAAGATGGACATGATGAACTGTAGGTTTAACTTAACACTGCCATTGACACCACTGAAAAGAGGCAAAACATGAGGATACAGGATAGACCAAGACGAGTTTAGTGTAAGTTGCAAGTTTTGTCATTGTTTAAGTACGAGGGAAGAGGTATCCCTTCGCTTGGTCTTTTGAGGTGAAAATACTTATGAAAGGATGTTTCCTCTTTTAAACTTGTATTCTGCTTCGATCTGTTTTAGAACTTCTGAGATTAGTTTATTTTAACGGAATCAAATTCAGAATGAAGTTTAACATGACATGTTTCCATTTTGCTATTAGTTGTAATGTCCTTTTTCCATCAGTTGATTTTATAATAACAACTCTTATCAGCATCAAGCTCATTTCACTAGTTGCTTATCCCACAAAATTGATGGAAGGCCGTTCAAAACTTTGTACAGGAACTGATGAAGAAACCTATTGTAAGAGGCAAAAACTTGTTAAGGACTCCTTTTAGTCCTTTGTACTGGCTTTCAGAAACTGAAAATCCCTCTTTATGATATCAAAACTTCTAGCACTTTAGTTAGCTGGCCACTTATGTTGTTTTTTTTACTCCATATATAACACTGGAACGATAACAACAAAAAACCTAGTGGAATCTCACAAGTGAAGTATGGGGAAAATAGTATGTACGCTGATTTTACCCCTACCTTATGCAAGTAGAGAGGTTGTTTCTTGATAGACTCCCGACTCAACATAGTCGCAATAACAAAGCAAAAGGGAAATAAAGGAATGAAAAAGACATGGAAAAAGCAGTAACAAGAAACCCAATGGAATCCCACAAGTCGGGTCTAGAGAGGGTAGTGTGTACGCCGATCTTATCCCTACCTTGTGCATGTAGAGAAACAATGTCCAAGAGGCCCCTGGCTCAACATAGTCGCAATAGCAAAGCAAAGGGAAATAAAGGAATGAAAAAACAGTAACAACATCAAGATAGTAACAGAAATATTTGGTGTTTCAAATTCATAGGACAATGAGAAGCAAACAAAATCAAAATAATGCAAACAAAATCAAAATAATGCAAACAAAATGCGCATCCAGGGAATCGAACCCCGGTCAGTACCGTGGGAGGGTACTATGATACCACTACACCAGATGCGCTTCCGGTGTCCAACAATCGAGAAGTTAATTAAATATCAAAGTGTTTCCTAATAGGATATTTTATATTCTACGGCTTGAAACTGAAATATTTGATAAAGATTATTGCTAGGTAATGATTCTATTATAATTTACTGATCTTATTGATCTCATTCTCATTTTCTTTATTCTTCATGACAAATAATAAGAGTCAAATATAGTAGGCTCTAAAGATTAGTGGAGATCGAAGTCAAGATTTTCTTGAATAACACAAGTGTATTACTTTATAAAATCCATGGCTGCATCTAGAAATTTGAAACAAAATAATACGGGCTAACCCGTTTTCAAATCGGTAGTTGAAAAATAATCAGCGCTTGCAAAGTCATTAAAAAATAGCCATTATTTTGCTGCAACAATAAAAGTTACAGCATAATATACTGGAAATTGGTGCACCTGTGTATGAACTTCCAGCATATTATGCTGGAACTCCAGCACACAGAAAGTTCCAGCATAATATACTGGAGATTAGTGCACCTGTGTATGAACTTCCAGCATATTATGCTGGAACTCCAGCACACAGAAAGTTCCAGCATAATATACTGGAGATTAGTGCACCTGTGTATGAACTTCCAGCATATTATGCTGGAACTCCAGCACACAGAAAGTTCCAGCATAATATACTGGAGATTAGTGCACCTGTGTATGAACTTCCAGCATATTATGTTGAAACTATATTATATTATGCTAGAAGTTCACATGTAAAAAATTTGAACCCCAGCATATTATGCTGGAATATTTTTCGGATTTTGAACAATATTTTGTTCAAATTTATCTTTACATGAAAAGTAGCTAAATTTTAATTACTTTTAAAATTATGGCTAAATTTCAATTATCACTTATAAATCTGACTATTTTTTAATTTCACCTTTGAAAAGAAGATATAGATCTCAAACTGCGAAAGGCATACTTTCTCACCGCTATTTAAATACTCCTCCGTTTTAATTTATGTGAACATGTTTGACTGAACACGATATTTAAGAAAAAATGAAGACTTTTGGAATTTGTGGGTCTAAACAAGTCAAAAAGGGGTTCAGAGTATTTGTGTGGTTATAAAAGCTTCTCATTAACAGTAGAATTGTAAGTTTAAGCTAAATTGTGTCCAAATTTAGAAAGGGGTCATTCTTTTTTAAACGGACCAAAAATGAAATAGGTTCACATAAACTGAAACATGTACTATTTTTAGTTTTTCATATCTGTGCAAAACTGATTCAATAAAAAAGTGTTGAACTAAGGTGCCCTTAATTTGTTGACACGCAGAGATGGTAAAAAGACGATGACTTCATGCTATATTCAACGTAGCTGTCATGTTAAAAACTATCTATGTTTCAAATTAGTTAAGGTATTTTTTTAGTCTGTTCTAAATTAAATGACATATTTTTAAATTTTGAAATAATTCAAAAACTCTTCATTTTACTTATTTTACCCAATGAATAGTTTTTATAACCACACAAATTTTATGACCCCACAAAGTTTTACCCCTTAAGCTTTTAAGATCACATATTTTAAAATCTTTTTTTTTTAAATTTCGTACCGAGTCAAAATACCTTATCTAAATTGAAACGAAAAGGGTATATATGTTTTAGTTAAAACTTCCCCCATGTGCTGTTGCTATAGAAAATCTTGTTGAATATCTCTAGCATCAAACCCTATATGTTTAGTTTTCCCACTCTTCTCTACGCTTAATCTAATAACTTTTCTAACTTTATTTGGTCATAAAATAATGTAGTAATATAATATAACAAAAATATAGGGTTAAGTAATAACCTTTCAAACTTATGCACTGTGAGTAATAAAATTATGATTACCGTCAAATCGGCATTTTTGTTAAAGAAATTTGACCGGTATGCTATGCACGTACGTGTGTTGAGACAAAGGTTATGGTGGAGATTTGGAGATGCGACCTGTTGAAGGCTATATGAAGAAGGTGGATCAAGTTTATTTTGTCAGAAAATTCAGGCGAAGGGGAAAAATTGTTAGGTGTTTGTCTATATTTTCTTACCATAATTAGTTTTCCTATCTCATGAAAGAAAAGACAACATATTTACCATAGTTGGGTTTTTCTTTTCCTAGAACAAAAATATAATTCTTCCATATTTGGCTAGTCCTTTTTCTTGTAGGAAAGGTTTGGAGTTTTATAAATTGAAGATCCGTCCTTCTCATTCAGTAGCGTCCATAATGTAGCCATAGGGAGCTTTGAGAGTCGTATTTAGGGGGAGACTTTACGGGACAAGTGTTAGTGTGTCACTTGTGTTTGCCTCTTCGTGAGGTTGTTCTCTCGATATTTTGTACTTTTTGTTATAGTGGATTGCTCATCTCCATTGTGGACGTAGGTCAGTTGACAGAACCACGTCAAATGTTTGTGTCTCTTTTGGTATATTTCTCTTGTTGTATGATTTATCGTCGTTCAAGGTTTGCTTTGCTAGATTCCGCATGACACCTAATTATTTCGGTCCTAACTATCTAGACGGCAATAACTTCTTATGCATGCATATATATATATATATATATCCAAAATTTCAAGTTTATAGGTTTAGAATTCTGATCATTTTAAGTTACTGGGCTCTAAATTAATAATTTATGAATATTCAATGAATTTTTAAGAGAAATACATGAGTTCGAACCAAAGCTACTGGGTTCGGCCGAACTTGTTCCCGACACTCTAGGTCCGCCCATATATATATATATATAGGGGGTGAGGGCTAGAGAGCTGGGAACGAGTTCGGCCGAAATATATATATGCGGAGCCAGGATTTAAAGCTTACAACAACAACAACAACGACCCAGTATAATCCCACAAGTGGAGTCTGGGGAGGGTAATATGTACGCAGACCTTACCCCTACCTCGAAGGGTAGAGAGGTTGTTTCCAGGAGACCCTCGACTAAAAAAAAGCTTATGGTTCGGATTTAAAGCTTATGGTTTGGAATTCTAATCATTTTAAGTTATTGGATTCTAAATTAATAATTTATGCATATTCAACGAATTTTTAAGACAAATATAGGGGTTCGAACCAAAGCTACTGGGTTCGACCGAACTCGTTCCCGGCACTCTTGCTCCTCCCCTATATATATACTCCCTCCATCTCATAATATGTCTCGTGATTCTCTTGTGCACGCCCCTTAAGAAAGAATAGTTTTTAACTAATGTACCCTTATTAAATATTTTCTCAATTTATGTGTCATCTCTATCAATGACATTATTCATATTTTTACCAAGTGTGAATGCAATTGATTATTAAGGGTAAAAAAGGAAAAATATAATCAATTTTATCTTGAACTTCTAAAATGACAAATAATTTGAGATAATTATTTTTAGTAACCACGACACATATTATGAGACGGAGGGAGTATGTATATATATATATATATATATAGTAAGAGAGAGAGTTCAAATTAGAGGTATGAGTGTGGTCACACCTGAACCCTGAGGGGTAGCTCGGCTGGTAAAGGCTTGAGGACAAAGTCCTTCAGGTCGCCGGTTCGAGCCCCAGCAGGGCCACTGGAGGCATTACAAACCGGCCGCGTCTCCAGGGCCCTGTGGAACTAACCGTGGTGGACCTGCCTTGAAACAGCGGGACCCGGTGGGTACAGCTAGTCGGGTTCGCAAAGCGATCGCCCGGAAACCACGGCAAAAAAAAAAAAAAGTGTGGTCACACCTGGCTACTACATCTGCCTCTAGCTGTCTGCATTGAGTTACAAATTTATGGGTGCGTGGATCATATAGTACCACTCAAACTTGATTCATTAAGATTTGGATTAAGGTCCTTTTCTGAACCTTTTGTAAAGATGTGATGTTATTCAACTGTTGCAAAAATAGCCATTCTCTTAACAGTTTGTTTGAATTGAAAATAGCTGCTATAGCCTATAGGTTTCTTTGAATTGAGGGAACATGAGACAAAGTAAAGTAGAAGAATAGGTGGAATAAAAGATTTTAACTTTGGATTTAATTGTAAGATGAGAACGTATATGATAGATAATGACTACCACCAAAGATTGTGATGAATTAATGGATTATATTCCTCTATACTTAATCAGAGGACTTAACTTCGAGCATTGGAAGTAAAAAAAATTCTAGTATCGAACGCTTTTCATTTTAATGGATCTTGCGCAACACGAATTAATAGGACGTCAATGCGACTATCGAATACTGGGAAAAAATAAAAAATAATGGCAGAATAATTTGAAACAAAAATATTGAGGGGTAAATATTTTTCTTTTACTTTATAAATGATCTAATTAAGTAAATAATTTTACATAATCAATGCATAAAATTTAAAGTTTTTTTAATCCTATGTTATTTCGGGTTGGTGTAGCAGTCATACTCCCTTCGGTCCATAATAAATGATTTTTTGATCTTTTTATTTTGGTCCAAAATAAATATTCTTTTACCTAATCAAGAAGGAATTAATTTTATTTTTTCAAGATTTGCCCTTATTTATATATCTCAATGTGTCACAATAACAATTAATTAAGGGTAATTTAGTGAATACATTTTCTTTTTCTTTGGAAGTTCGTATTTTCATAAGGGGTATGCGAAAGATAAAAAAGTCACTTGTTATGGACCAAAAAGAGTTGTAATTCTCACATCTCTCTCTTCTTCTATCTCACATTCTTCATTTTTCCTCTATTTTGGAAATTCCCAACAACTTGAAATTCAACATTTCCATTAAAATAAAGAAAAGTACATATTTTTAGTGGTCTCAAACCTATAAATGATCTGTAACTTTCTTGAAAGGGAAATGGCTACTGAAAAGTATATTCCATCCACTATTCTAGAACTAGGTTGCACTTAATTTTCTTCGACTGAACCCCAAGTGCAATTATTGTACAATATTACTTTATTTAATTTCGAAGACAATACATGTGATTAATTATTTTTGCAGACACACGACCAGTGCAAAATGTGTTTGATTGGTAGATTTTTGGCTAACTGCAGGTGTTCAATCCAAACAACACCTAGTTAAGTTGTCTAAATAAAAAATACTGGTAGCTATAGACGTCCTCGTATGTATTCAGCCTTAATGTTATGTCGAGAAAGAGACAAACACGAAAATAAAGAAGATAAAAGATACCAAATTTTAAGGTGAAAATCCCTTCAAATTGAAGGTAAAAATCATGGGATCAGAAAGATCCAAAAAATTTCACTATAGTAATAAGAGGGGTATAAAAGTTCTCTAAATTGGCTACACAACAAGTGCCAAACACGAAGCAACAATAACAACAAGAGCACCGTCAAATCAATTGAAGAAAAAGGAGAAGCCACAAAACTAGAGCTGTTGTTTGGGGCTCGAAATCAGATGCTACGGGCCCAAAAATCCGATCTCTACCGTTCAAATCAAAGATTAAGATGTTACAAAAACTTAGTCAAAATTTCAGCTCAATCCAACGGTTAACGAATTAAAAAAGAGATTTAAAGTTGGCTAATCGGAATAAAAATCTGCAGCAAAATAAATATTTTTCTTCTCTCTTCTCTCTTGACGAAAGCTCTCTCAAAAACCACTCTTATGTGCTTAAGTCTTTCAAAAACTTGTACTAATGAGCATAGAACAGTTCTCAAAGGTTGTCATATTTATAGAAAATAAGTTGTGCTTTCTCTTAAAGCCAAAACCAGTACTAAATAAGAATAAAAACCAAATCCAATTCCGCATAGGAATGGAAACCAAAAGAGAATAGTATTAGGCCACTAGGCCTTTGACTGGACATCATGGGCATGGACCCAACAAATACACCATAATATTTATATAAATAAAAAACTTTTAAAACCTGTCGTCTTAATACCATCCTTGTGGAAAAAGAAAATTGTTTCACTCCTAGAATAATCATAGTGTTACATGAGGTGGGGAAAAATGCAATACTTTTCTACACAACAAAAAAATAGAGGCAAAAGACTATCACACTAATACTTTCACTGGCTAAACTACATTACATTTGAAAAAAAAGAAAACTACATTAACATTGAATGATCAAAGACATTTCCAGCCAAAAGATCATCATCTAATTGATTATCCTGAAGATAACATTTTTCAGAAAGAAGTTGAAGATACTCTTCATACACCTTCTCCAACATGTTTTCATCCAATGGAACTTCATCAAATAAATTTGAAGCACAAGGAATGAATGAAACCTCTGCTATTTTACCCTCATCGGTAAGGCCGCGTACATATGACCCAATGTGGTTTGACTCGTCTGAGGACCCCGCGCATAGCGGGAGCTTAGTGCAGCGGTCTGCCCTTTTATCGGCTTCTTCAGAACTGTTTGAGGAAGAAGTACTCAATAATGCAACATCTTTAACACTATGATTCCTACAAGAGGAAATTCTTATTGGTTTTGGGATAAACAGAGGAGAGTCACTAATATTTTGTACTAAAGATTGGTCTTTTTTCTTCTTATTTTTCTTCTTGTCTTGTTTTTTTCTTGGTTTCTCTATTTTGGGGTGTTTCTTGGGTTCTTTTTTGGGACAATATTTGGAGAAAATCGTGTTAACTTTAGGCTCAATTCCAGCACTTTTGAGCTTCTTGATGAGATGTGTGTTCCAATAATTCTTGATTTCATTGTCAGTTCGACCTGGTAATCTTCCGGCTATGAGTGACCAACGATTACCCAAAAGGGAATGAAGTCTTAATATAAGATCTTCTTCATCTTGGCTAAAATTTCCTCTCTTGATCCCTGGCCTCAGATAGTTCATCCATCTTAATCTACAACTCTTTCCACATCTAAGTAACCCTGAATTTTGAATAAAATAGTTGGAAAACAAATTAATACAAGCATCTCATCTTAATAGTTTAAGCTTTTAAGTAAGTAATTCACGTAATTCAATATGGTATCGGACAACGATTTGTTAGGTATGCGAACAAAGTACCACATTAGAAGTTGATAAGGAAAAAAAACAACATACATGGTAATTTTGGGTATATGACGGAAGTCATATTCCTAACCAAAAATTTAGTGTTTGGTTGAGGAATAGAAAACACTGTTCAGAAAGAATTTTATATTAAAAGATAATAATAATTATATTGGCAAATAGGAGTGTTTTGATGAAATTTTCGAGTGGTAAAAATTAATACTAATAATTTTCAATTGTTAGCTAGCAAGTAATATAACTTGTTTTACGGAAATTGACTTCTACCATAAGTGAGGGAGGACAGACTAAACATGACTTTCTCGTGGAAAATATTTTCTTGAAAAATAACTTTCGTTATAAATATACGCATCATAGTAATACATTATGAAACCGATCTTTATGCGAGCTTGACAAAAAACGGATAATATCACTATATCTAGAGTCTTTAGAACAAGAAGATTGTAGGTTCTATGCACATTGAGTAAAGCATATTTTCAACTATTTGACCGATAAATAATCAAGCTAGCTTTATTTGAGGATTTGTTGAAGACCTTTACAATATCTAATTATAGTATAGTCAACTTTAGGAATATCTATAACATTGAATCACACCAAAAAATGTGGTGCAGTGGATGAGACTGCTCTTCCCTTAACTAGAGGACTCGAGTTCGAGCCCTAGGTATCGAAAAATTCTTGGCAGGGAGCGCTTCTCCCCGAATGGTTCCCTACGCGGCGCGAATCCGAATATAGTCAGGCTCTAACGCGGGTATCGAACACCGGGCGAGAAACAAAAAAAATCTACAACATTGAATGAAAATAGAAATGCATACCAGCTTTCTTGGGCAAGTTTCTCCATTGGCCTTCACCATTTTCCTTAATATAATTACTAAGTAATAAATCTTCTTTTGTAGACCAAGGACCTTTACGTAAACCCTCTTTAGCACAACACGGCGCTCTCCCCATTTCTCTTTGTAGTTGGACAAAACAAGAACACTACTTTTGTAATATATAATGTGAGAATAAAGCAAGAAATTAAGAGGGGTTCTCACTCTAAGACAGTAACAGTAATTTGAAAAAGCGATAGACATCTAACGCATTTACTCATTTGTTTTCTTAAATAATAAAATGCAAAAGAGTATTAGCGGTCTTGTTTGTCACACATGAATATACTCTAAGTTTATGACTATGAAAAAAAGAAGACGACGACGACACATAGCTTTTGAGTTTGGGGAAAGTCGTGCCCTTTTAGAAGCCACGAGATCTATTACAGGAACATTAAATACTGATGGGACAAAAAAGAGAACAATGGACAATATGATGTAGTTGTTCTTTACTATACTTTATATATTAGTTGGAAATATTCAGACCTAGTGTATTTCATTTATATTCCACTTGGTGTATGTTTGTTTATTGAGTTTAACTTTTGTATACAGAAGTGGATCCAGAATTTGAACGTCGCGGTTGTACTTTGCCGTTCAGCCAAGTTTTGTATATAGAATGTTAAACTAGTACTCCCTCCGTTCCAATTTATGTGAACCTGTTTGATTGGATATGGAGTTTAAGAAAAAATAAAGACTTTTGGAATTTGTAGTCCTAAATAAGTTAAAAAGGACCCCAAATAATTTGTGTGGTTATAAAAACTTCTCATTAAGGGTAGAATTATAAGTTTAAGCTAAATTGTTTCCAAATTTAGAGAGAGTTCATTCTTTTTGGAACGGATCAAAAAGGAAATATGTTCACATAAATTGAAACGGAGGGAGTACTATATTACTATTTTCTTAAGATAAATATACGTATACATGGAAGGGTAGCTAGCCTTGGCGTAACTCGTAAAAGTTGTTGTCATGTGACTAGGAGGTCACGAGATCGAGCCGTAGAAACAGTCTCTTGTAGAAATATAGGATACGCCTGCATATAATAGACCTTTGTGGTCCGGCCCTTTCCCGGACCCCAAGCATATATAGCGGGAGCTTAGTGCACCCGGCTCCTTGGTGTAACTAGTAAAGTTACTGTCATGTGATCAGGAGGTCATAATTTTGAGCCGTAGAAACGGTCTATTGCAGAAATGCAGGGTAAGACTGCGTTTAATAGATTTTTGTGGTCCAGTCCCTCCCCAGACAACGAGCATAGCTAGCTTAGTGCATCGCGCTGTCATTTTTTTTTCTTTATATACATTTATGCATGAAATTTTTGCCAAACTTTTCGGATGCCCATGACCTATCTCGCTATAACATAGGACAATTCCTCGGCTTGTATACATTGATGATGATGATAGTGTGAATTTTTTTTACAATATTATGTTATCGTTATATGTTATAGCGGATAATTTTACTTATTTAAAAACATTACAAATCAAACCATACTTCTTAGAAGTCGAGTAACTTTTAATTTAGGTACTTTTTAGAAAACATTAAAAAATTCTTTATATATTACTTTGAGTATCATTGATTGGGACCCCTCCATATGATTATGTCTTATTCATACATTCATTTATTCCTTTTGTTTTATAGAGGCAAATCATCGGGCAGAGATTGAATCCAATATAAGAATTAATATAAATTAATGTGCCTCTTCACCACTTGCATAAGGACTCTACATTTCTCTGACTGGAAGCTTTTTTTATTTATATTATATATTAGTATTAGTACCCCGCGATGCGCGGACAAATTATTTCAAATTGCGATGTATATTGTTTGAATCATGTACAAATAATCTTAAAATATATATCTCGCAGATAAAAATTATATAACGTGAGAATTTAGTTATGAAACGGGATATGAAATTATTGATCAAATCCCGCAGTAGACAACCAATCTTTTTAACATATATTTGTAGCAACCTAACTCCTTGATTTTAGTACTTGCATTTCGTTCCGTTGTCGATATTAAAGAATACTAAACATGTCATATTGTGATCTGTCTTTTTCGAGCACATTAGATCATATTATTTTAACAAAATTCTTACAATCACTTTATTTTTATTAGGAAGTCAAATATGTCTTATTCATCGCATCATTTTTACGTAAATTCTTTTTTTGTTTGTTCTTTTCTTATAGTTATTGTATTATTTAATATTTCATATTATTATATCATCATATAATTTTTTGTTAGCTTATAATTAAATTAATGTCTTGCTTATTATCCTTTTAATAGTATGCGATAAAAATAAATATTTTATTCTCAAAATTTGATATATTTTTATGCTTTTATCCTCTTATTCATAATATTTTAATCATTTAAATTTGTCAGTAATATTTTTAAATATAATTAACTATTTTATTTTATCTATATTAAAATTAATTTAAAGTATAAATATCCTCACACTACCTCTATTTTTTTTAATATACATTCTCTTTCCTACTATAAATGTTAATTAGTTTTATATTAATATTTTACCTATAACAAAAATAATGTCATATTTTATTTTAAATTGTAACTTTTAGTTAGTCTAAAATATTAATACATAAGTTATTTGATTGTCATGTTCCAAATGTATTGAGTTCTCTTATAATTAATTTTGTATTAGATGCAGTTAAATTTTCTTTTTTTTAGCTATAAGATACAATTTAATTTTTAATTTTAATTTTCATTATTAAGATTAAGAAATTTATTTTGAATTTTTAAAAATTTATTTAATCATAGAAAAAAATTTCTTAATTTTATGAACACATTATTTCTAAATATTATAATAATATTTTTACTATCATTTTAATTCTTTACGTAATATTATTTTTAAAAAAATTTCATATCAAACTCAAATAATTCTTATCATTTTAGTTTCTAAACTGGACCACATTTTCAAAAAATTATGCTATGCATTCAAATTCAAACTAATTGCACTCGATTCAAATATTAATCATAAGTCTAAAATATTAATACATAAATTATTTGATTATCATGTTCCAAATGAATTGAGTTCTCTTATAATTAATTTTGTATTAGATGTAGTTAAATTCTTGTTCTTTTTTAGCTATAAGATAAAATTTAATTTTTAATTTTTATTATTAATATTACCAATATTAGAAATTTATTTTGTATTTTTAAAAATTTATTTAATCATAGAAAAAAGATTGTTAATATTTTGATCACATTATTTCTAAATATTATAACAATATTTTTACTGTCATTTTAATTCTTTACTTAATATTTTCAAAAAAAAATTCTCATCTCAAACTCAAATAATTCTTATCATTTTATTTTCTAAACTGAACCGCATTTTCAAATAATTATGTTATGCATTTAAACTCAAACTAACTGCACTCGATTCAGATATTAATCACAGAAAAATATTGTCTTAATTGTTTGAACATATTATACCTAAATGTTGTAGTAATTAATCAAATCTTTCATCATAAAGAAAATGATACAACTTATTCAAATTTGAGATGAGAAAATTATTATTTATCTATTATGATAAGAAATATCATATTGTGGATAATACCACGCAACTTATGTCTAACAGATAAAATAAGAACTTAAAAATATTTAAAATAAATTAGAAATAGCGTGAGAATATTTATGCAAAGAATTAGTTTAGAAAATAAAATAAAGTGAAATAAAATACTTAAAAATATTATTGATAAATTTAAATAACTTAAGAATTCAAGAAATATTTTTAAAGTAAAATAGATATTTATTTTAAGATTAAAAAATTTCTAGACTATCTATATTATATTATAGGATAGTAATGGATAATAATACTAAATAAGGTGGCACCAAAAATTAAAGTCTTACTAGATATAGAATTAAAATTTAAAAATATAAAATAATTATCTAATATAAGTAATTTTATTAACTAAAATTAAAAGTCAAATTTTGTATGTTGAAACTAAAAGAGAATTTTTTTTATTGCATGTAATACAAAAAATAAATATGAGAAAACTTACTAGATTTGGAATATAATAATCAAAGAACTTATATATTAATATTTTATACTAATCAAAGTTACAACTTAAAGTCAAATATGATATTATTTTGATTACGGGGTAAAATACTAATTAAAAATTTCTTAATAGGGAAGACTGTATAAAGAAAAAAATAGATACAATGTGAGAATATTTATATTTTAAATTAATTTAAAATAAAGTAAATAATTGAATTATTTTCAAAAATATTATTGATAGATTTACATAGTAAAATAGTTTTGAGTAAGAGGATAAAAGCGTACATATATTAAATTTCAAGAATAAAAAATATATTATAATTATTAAAAGGATAATAAGCAAAATATAAAGTCAATTAGTAATCCGAAAAAATCACATGAAAGTATAATAATATTAAATAATAAATAATATAATAATTATAAGCAAAGAACAAAAAATATTGTGTAAAATTTAAAAGAATAAGACTTATTAAAGCTTGAGATAAAAAAATAAACTATACTGAGAATTTTATTAAAATAATATAATTTAATATGTTCAAACAAAACAAATCACCACATGACATAGTTAGTAATTTTTAATATTGTTAACGAAACGAAATTCAAGTACTAAAATTAACCTATTGGATTATATAAATATAGAAAAAGAAAACAGGTTATCCACTATGAGATTTGCGAAATGGTTTCATGTTTTGCTTCTTAATTAATATCTAATGATTATCAATAAATTTTATCTGGAAGGTTTATATTTTAAAGTTATTTATACATAATTCAAATAATCCAAATCACAACTCGACATAATTTGTGTCCGCGCATCGCGTAGGTACTAATACTAGTATATATAATAAGATTATATTTTAATTTTTAACAACCCCTTTTGTAAAAAACGACGTCTCTTTTTATTCAAATATGTATATACTAACTTGATTTTAGTTCTTAAGATTTATTATGAAGGTGCATGAAATCTCTTGTCATAAAGAGTACTGAGATTTCACGATTTTATTATCCACTGCTTCCCGAAAAATTAGGATCTTTATGACAAACAGATAGGATAATAATCAATATAAAATTTGTGGTCGAGAAAGAGAGTTTAACTTATATGAATTGTCACTATAATAAATTTTTATCATATCATCTAAAGCAGATTCAGAATTTGAAAGTGTCGGGGTCACTAATATTGTCGAATAAAAATTTGAGCAATATTTGAGTTAGATTCGAACCCAGGCAGAGCACTAAAAGTCAAATTGTGTCCTTCCTCCAAAAAAAAAACGATCAATGCAGTTGCCGAATATTTGACTCTTAGAGTATCCGTCAAAATATACACATGCTATTTAAGGTATATACACAAAA